TCGACTGGCTGCCAAATCCAAACTAACCTATCAATTAGTCTGAAATACGTTTTGGCGTGGTTTGATAGATGGCAGCACACGATGATAACACCAATTTCTCTTAGGAACGTCCTCTGTCTTCGAACACGGGTACTTATTGAACCGCCCTCGTATTTCCAAATTTCATATTCTAAAAATTCTTTTTTGTCGTCATCGAACCTAATAAATTTTGCAATCTAAGTTTAGATATTGCCATTGCAGTGACATGCCAAGGTCTGAGCTTGGAAATGAATGAAAAAATAAATAGGTTCGGCCTCATTTATTGCCGTACGTACATTATTACGAAAAGCCAACTTTCTACTTTCACCGGCTGCTAATAAATGTGCTTGTTGCTCTCACCCGCACTTGGTCAGGTGTGTGTGTATAAAGTTGTTGGCGCAGTTGTCAAACTTCCCCGCGTGATTATGTGTAGGAAGTGATTAGCGAAAATTTTCGCAAAACTTTCTCCTTTTCGCTAACAAGAGCAACGTGTTTATTTCTAAAATTGCTTTTTGTAGGTATTGCTTCACTTAATGTTCTTTAAATGAAATGAAAGTGTAATTTGAATAATCGACGAGAAAACTCGTCGGTATTATTATTTGCGTTATTAGGGGTTGCTGTCACGTTGTTTTACAGGATAATTTAGGATTAGCTAGATTTATCTTACCTTCGTGTTTTCTGATTTAACAATTAACAATTCAAAACGATTCAAGTAGATATTGTTGGATATGTTTTTTGGATCTCGATGAAAATTTTCAAAAACATCTAAAATCACGTGCCCACCCCTGGTCTAGTAATAAACAATTTCAAAAAATAGACACATTTTTTTAGTTTTTAGGTATATTTGCAGAGATTTTGTCGAAAACATTGTTCCTTCCTTATCTATTTTCAAAATTACTTAGGTACGTCGTGAAATTATCGAAATTGGTAGAAAAACTGTAATAACATTATTATTCTAGGTTTAATAGTTTTTGAGAAGTTCATAATAAAAATAAAACTGAATATACTATAAAATAGGTACCTATTAACAAAGTGGATTATTATTAATAGTTCGTGTTTGTTGTTTTCAAATAAATAAA